AATACAGCAAATGCGGAGAGGGCAGATACACATCAGGGTGCATGAACATGAATGTCTTGCATAAAGTAATCAGATGTGAATGCATTAATATACTTAACACAAACACACCAGCAGGTCAGAAAAGGTTGAAAGGAATCTTAGTATTTATTTACATGATTAGAGGTGACAGACACTTTATATATCTAAACCATGTGCACAAATATGAGAAATTAAGACATTTGCAGAATTAGAGCTGGGAAGTGAAAGATGCATTTTAGAACTAAAGAAACACATGTGGTTCATCTTTAGAGGGGACTGTCTGCATTCATGCATTTCCTGTGCGCTGACATTGACCATTAAATTTAGTCGTATATTTATACATCTACACAGTGTGAGAGAATGGGTGACAGAAAGAGAAGTGAGCGCAGGTTTACGTGGTGGAAGGACACGTACTGAAACTATCATGGGTTTGGAAGCTCAGACAGTTCACACACACATAGGTCTTAACCCAAAATTGGGAGAAACATGTACAGTACATGAAAAGTCTATGCTTTTTCACTCAGTTTAGATCCTTTTCAGGATGATAAAAATGTATAGTGGCCTTAATTCTTCATATGCATCACAGAAAATAGCATCAAAAAGGATGTTTGGATGGTCTTTAAAATACAATGTAGGGCTTTTCTGAAAATGTAGCTGATTTGCATTTAATTAATTGAATAAAAGAGATGCCACTTGGATTGTAATTCTCCCAGAAGTCTTTGAAGTAGAGAACCACAGAGACCAAGCAGAGCCAGATCCCTGCAACAGTATTGAAACTGAGAGACGGGATTGCAAAGTCCATTTTGTGCTGTGATAAAAAAAATAAATAAATTCTTGCAGACACATTTGTAACTTAAAATTTAGACACTAAGCATCACCTTCACACACACACAGGTGGTGTCCAACCTGTGCCTGAGGCAGGAGCAGGCCTCATGGATTCACCTTACTTATTGCAAGATGAGCTCCAGCAAGCATCATCTTTCATGTAAGACGTCAGTTTTACAATATAGTTTCAGCTCTTAGGTATATTACCTTGAGGTTAAAGGAAAAACGCCTTGGGAAACGCTTTGCTCTCCTGTCGTACTAACGTTAGATTATTTACTATGAGCAGTTGCTAGGCAACCAGCGGAGAATCCAGGAAGTGAGTTACTCGCCACCGAGACCGACCGCGCAAATACGACGTTTTTTCGTATTTACTCTTCGGGTTTTCCATTGATTAAACACATGAGAAATAACGTATTAATTAGTGAGCTTCGGGGTTTTGCTGGCTGACAGATTTGGTTACATTTGTACAGAATCAGGCTGTTTACCAGTAATGACTTTGCATGAGTGTTTTCTCATGTTTCCTTTATGAGCATCTCGACCCAGATCATAATCTGAAGGAGTTCACTGGCCATCTCCTTTGCATATCCACTGCAAGTCACAAATACATACAGGTGCCTGTATGCAGAACTCCTACATGTAGTTCTGTACACAGGTAGAGGATGCAGGCTTCATCCTCTACCCCCTCACAGCTACACTATGTGCCATTGACAGCATTGTGCACATCATCCTCACCAGCAGACTGCTCACACTGCAGGATTATCGTCACTATCTGCACTAAAGGGGCAAAGATCCAATGACTTTTCGCCGAAATCATGACACACTCGAGATCTTATTCTTGCGGGGAAGAGGCATCTTATTTATGTCCTTAGAGGAAATAAAGCAGCACAGAGGAGAGAGAGAGAACAAGAAACAAGGAGGCTGAATATTTCATAGATTTTATTATTTATCTGGAAAAGCACAAGTCAGACAAGCACCATCGACGGCTAGAAAATAGGGGAAGCTGTCTGACAGGCTGACAAAACATGAGGGAACTATATGCCTCACCTCAATGTATAAAACAACAAAGCAGACACATTACCATCTATATGAGAACAACAGGAGGATGCAGCAGTCTTACAATGTAATAACATAAAATAAGTGGTCGGCCAGCAACAAAATAGGACATGGTGGTAGATGTTTTGTTGCTCTCAGGAAGAAACTTTATTTAAAGGCTTCGTTATAGAGACAGTTGCTTATTTAATGTGCATCATATCAGACAGGAAAGAGAGGCCCATGGAGAAAAATTTAATTTAATCTACAGACAATGAAAAGACAGAATACAAATTCAGGCGCTATCCTCTGATACCAAATCCTTAAGGGAAGGTTTGGGATATTTTCCAAATTGTAGTCATTTATTTTATTTTATTTTTTACACCATTAAATAACCTCATTTAAGTACCAAATACCTAATAGTCTGCATGTGTATTTTAAAAATGAAGAGAGAAGCAAACTCCTCAGGTCCCATTAGTTTCAGATATTCCCTTGGGTCACATTCAGCAGTGAAAGTGTGAAAAACAATGAGAACCTGTATATCTGTCAAATCTAACACAGTGTGCAGTAGCAAACGGTGCAGTACAGAAAGAGAAATTATAAAACATACATATACTTTTGAGTCTGTGTTCTGTGGCTTTGAGTCAAAGTGACCCATTTTATTGTAACAATTCATGAAGCATTTGAACCTCTCACATATGATCACTGTTGAATGTGCCCCGATGTGCCTGTGTGTGTAAGAGAGTGAATGTTACTCTATTGAACCAGATAAACCAAAGTGTCCCCGATGTCCACAGTGAGACCGTTGTCGGCCAGAGTGACCCTCTTCTCCCCCAGATTGATGTTGAACACAGATTTGTTGGAGATGGGCAGCTTGCCCTCTTCCTCTTGTCCCAGGACGGGCACCCGGCGAGGCCCCAGTGCGGGGTCCTCGTACCTCATCAACTTCACTCTGGACAGATCTGTTGGAGTGGAGTCAGACAAGTCAGAGGTGAGATGAGAGACAGAGACAAAAAAGGGAGGAAGAGAGAGGGATGAAAGAAATGCAGAATAAGTCGGGAAAATGGTGGAGTTGAAACACAGAGGGGATGAAATAATGGCAAGGGAGTGAGTGTAGAGAAGGATAAAGGTAAGCAAGAAGATGAGGAATAGAAGTGTGGGGGGAAAGCGGTAAGATGCTATAGGCAGAAATAAGAGTGAAAAGGAGGAAAGGCTACAGAGCAAATCTGCTAACTAAAGCTCTAACCATCACTCATCTTGCATTTAAACCACATGCTGTTACAATAAAAATGAAAAACTACTGTATATAGCATAATACATAGTTACATCCTAACTGAGCCCAGCTCTGATAAGACATCAACCACTTTTTGTGAGCTGCTGAATCAGTAAAAAAAAAAAAAAAGGAAAGATTTAACTCTTACTGCAATAGGCAAAGAAAACACACACCCTTTTAAACTTTGTCCCAAAAGTTAAAAATACAAATGTTCATCCTCTTTAGATTATAACATTCATTTCTGTATATTAACAGAGCCATTTTGGGCTCGTAACCATGGTGTATGAATTCCTGCTGTATACCCATTTATCTTACTAACCTTTGATCAGTCTGTTGACCTTGGCTAGCCTACGGATGACGCCGTCTCTGCTGTCCCCATGTCTGATGTCAACTTTTGTAGAAAACAGGCCGTTGGCCGGCTGAGGGTTGATCAGGGACACGCACACGCCAGGCTGGGGAGACAGAGGCACAACACATATGCACAACACGTATGCACAAACACAATTCAATTGTACATTTGAGAGTACAACAAACACTTTGTTCATCAGGGATGCACAAACACGAACATACTGCGAATATCCAAACACAAGCTGATGAATAGGTGACTGAAAAAGAAGCCTACATCTGTTCTCTAACACACACACACACACACACACACACTCACTCACACACACAGCTTGCATGAGAGCAGCCAACACACAGCCACAAGGATTTACCTCTGATCTGAAAACACTGAACGGTTTCCCTGGGCAACAGTCCTCCTTCACTTTGTCGTCAGCCTCAGATGCAAACAAGACGTCTATCTGTTCCAACTGTAGAGGAGGAAGGATTTGAAAAAGGGCAATAATCAGCTGTCAGTCCACATCGGTCCACCACCAGATAGTGTACACAGGTGTGTTCGCTATGCACACTGGCAAACACGTGTGGTGTTAAACCAGGCTCCTGCGATGATCAGAGACCTAACATCTTGCTGTACTCTAATCTGTCACACATTCCCAATCAGGGATGGTATTTCAGGTTTTTTTTTTTTTTTTTTCCAGTTTCATAATTGTGAACTAGTTCTGTAAACTTCTCAAACTACATCTGTAGCATAAAGCACTTCTCTGTTGACCATCCTTATAAAAGGAATTCACTCTGACACTCTGAATTTTAGATTCATGGTGTTAGTTTGATGTAGATTATGTATAAAAAAAATCTTTTCTGTGGTTAAGTCTGTGCTGGTTTCACAAAAGTATTGTAGGGGGCTTGGGTTTGACTAGGCTAAACTCCTGTGCAGACAAACGTATTAAGGGCTTGTCTGACAGCTGAGCTCAGGATTGTCTCAGCTGACTTTTGCAGAAGTAGTGAAACTCAGCTATAAAGCAGAGGTATTTTTGAGGAACCAAAATGCTGCTACTGCATGTCACAGATTGACATTTATTTAAAGACAGACAGAACCCAATCAAGTGAACCTGTTCAGTTTATTGCTCATATTTGAGAGGCTCCTGGGTTGTGTGGGAGTGTGTTTTTAACTGGGACCAGAGGTGTTGTTTGTGCCAGAGCATATCTATGATGAAAACACGGTTAAGCTGTGACTAGTTAGGAAGGTTATGCAACCGCTGTTCCTACGGTTACAGGTTTACATACTTTAGTCGACTATATATTGACCACAGGATCAGACTGACTTTATGAATAGTTTTCATCATGTTGAGAATGTTGTGCA